AAATTTAAATTCTCATAATGATTTCTTTCATAAGCACTGACAATATACTACTGGAGAAATCTAAAAATACTTTCCTTTGGTCAAGTATACCTTCCTAAAAATCTGTTTGTGTGTTTCATAAATCTAAAACCAATTAACTACAAAAACCTATTTTTTTTCATGAAGAGGCATTTGTCCTTAATTACACAATATGTAAATTTATTTTGTTTACACCAGCAGGCTGAAAAGGTTTGAAACCATTTTAACTGCAAAAAGACACTGGAGTAACCAGTCACTGATGGAAAAAGTTGATGTAAAATATCATCTCATTACCCGTACCTCCTTTGATCATATAATAAAAAAAAATCTCCAAATTGCAACTGGAACTCAATTTTAAAGTTGTACACATGAAATGAATGTAAAGTTAAAGCACACTTTTTCATATTTATGTTACAGTATCATAAGCCATGTGAGATAGATTTATGAAATACCTGGATTTCCCAGAATGACATACAATGCATCAAAGTATTACTCTTTAATTGCAATCAATTAATTTCAAATTTAATGAGTAAAAAATAAAATGAATTTAGAAATGTGATGCAGATTGTGAATCCTAAGCATACATTAGATTTTTTTAAATTTCTATGCATACACACACACACACACACACACACACATGTCACAAGTTTTAACTGTAACGGAAGTTGGTGACAATTAATTGTCTATGTTCTGGGAGCTTAAGTTACACTATAAATCAAACTGGCATGACAGTAACTTTTCAGCACAACATGTCTGCTATATAGAGAATTATACTTCAGATAGAATTTCTACCATCCATTTGAAAATTGGGGTTCTCATATTGAGTTTTGACAGATGCTGAGTCAGCATGTACTTGGAAGCATTATCCTTAGTTCAGACAAGCTGGTTAATTTTGTTATATACATATTTTTGAGGTTAAATGTTATTTTATTTTTTCCAGTTACATGTGACGGTAGTTTTAAACATTCATTTTTATAAAATTTTGAGTTCCAAATTTTTCTCCCTCCCTCTTATACCCCTGCCCCAAGCAAGCTGATACAGGTTATATGTGTGCAATCACATTAAACATATTTCTACATTAGTCATGTGTTCATTATATTTATATGAGGACTAATTTTTTTTAGCTTTTAAATTTATTTTAAACTTAAATACAAAATAAGGAAGGAAAAAAATATTGCCATGTACATAGAAGAACATAAAAGAGGATTCAATATAAAGCAATGCATTTCCATTTCAAGAAAACATATAATGAATAGTACACATTATTTTCAAAGATATCTATCTTTTCTTTGCTTCCTTCCATGTTTTCTTTTGTTCTATGCTGTGCAGTTTTTACTTAATTTTTTTCTCCCTTCCTCTCATCCCACCCCCAAAGGCTACAATTAAGCATGGGTATACACACACATATATACATATACATAGATATTCATAAACACACTTATGTACCCATGTACACTCAAACACACACACACACACACACACACACACACACACGAAAAAGATCATATTACGCTTATTTCCATTTCTCTGTAGGTTCATAGCACCTTACTTCAAAAGTACAAGTCTTTCCATATTTTTCTAAATCTACCAGCTCATCATTTCCTATACCACAACAATATTCTGAGCCAATCACATTCTACCTGGAAGGTTGTCTATGAGAGTTTCCCCTCAATTTTCCACATTCCCTGTATTCTTGGCTACACTGGTTCTATTTATACAGGAAATTTTTAATTTAAAATCATCAAAATTATCCATTTTATACTTTAGCTCTGCTCTCACCTTATAATATGGTTTAAGGTCTGACATGACTGAATCTAGTTCCTTCACATCTTTCCCCCCTAGTTTCCTTGAAGTTCCTGACCCTCTCTCTTCCAAATGAACTGTTATTATTTTTTCTGACTCAGTAGGATAATGTTTTAATAATTCAATTGGGATGGCATTACATAAACATATTAGTTACATAAAACTGTCATTTTTTATTATATTAGCTTTTCCTACCCATGCACAATAAATATCACTTCAATTATTTAGATTTAACTTTGTATAAAAGATGTCTTGTGTTTATATTCACATAGTTCCTGTGTCAGTTTTGGTAGGTATACTCTCATATTTTTCATACTGTCCAGTTATTTTATATGGTCTAAAACTATTGATCAATTGGTTGACAGTGTAATTTCCCTATTTTTTCTCTTTTGATTAAATCTGATTTAGCTTTAACTTTGTCTGAGATCAAGATTACTATCCCTGCTTTTGTACATAATAAATTCTACTCCTTACCTTTATTGTATATTTGTATCTCTCATTTTTCTAGCATTTCATGAAAGCAACATAACACTGAATTCAAATTTTTATCTGCTATCAGTTTCCATTTTGCAGGTAAATTCATCCCACTCACATTCTAAATTGTAATTACTTGTATATTTCCTCACTATCCTTCTCACCTTATTTTTATCCCTCTTAACTCCCCTACTTTACTTCTATGTGCTACCTTACCCTTTCATTTCTTAACCTACCCCCCTTCCACGAATCCCTCTCTTATCCTCTCCCCCATCCCCTTACTCTCTTACTTCTTTCTGAATTTAGAAGACATTTACACAGATAGATATATACATATATACATCCATATGTATATAAGTATGTATATATCATTCCCTCTTTAACCCAATCCCGATTGAGAGTAGGGTTCCAGAACTACCCACCTTCCTCTTCCATCTAATTTCTCTATCAGTTTTTTCCTCTTGCATCTCATTTGTATGAGATAATTACTTTTTACTGTTTCTTAGATGATTTTGCTGTTTAGAATCACATTGTACTCCACTCTACCCCATTCTTTCTTTTGAACTACCCAGTTACTAATGACAAGCTTAGACATACAGTTTACATTTCCACATATAAAAGCAAACAAATAGTGCAAACAGAACTAAGTACAAACTATAGTAATGAAGTTTTTTTTTCCATGTTTAGGTGCTTAAATATTAAATAATAGTTTTACAAGCTCTCAGTTTCAAAAGGAAATTCTGATGTTTATAAAGTTTTTTGAAATGTTTATCATTCAATTAAGAAACTGGATTTTAAAATCACCCCCAATTTATAGCAGAAATAAACTGATATTTGAAACAAAATGTTTATTAGGTAAGAAAAAAACTGAAAAAGAACATTTCTAGCAGAAATCCTGAGATGACTATTGAAAATCATTTTCACGTGTGATATAAAATAAAGTACTATGATACTATCATATTCTGTCCCAGTTTAATACTACTTAACTGTTTATATTATTTCTTAGACTTCTGATCTAGTCAGGATTTCCTGATGGAGATGTGGAAGATTACTTAAAATGGGTATCAATATGAGCGTATATGGCTCTTCTCTTCTTTCCAGATCCTTTCTTGAAGTGCAGATGTTTGCTCCTCCATTTAGCCCTCCTTGATTTCCCTGGATGAATGTAATTCCTCCCTCTTCAAATTTTCTTAAACAACAATGTCTGGACCTACTCATTATAATTTTCATATTCTATCTTGTATCATTCTTGATTTTGCAAGTATCTTATTAAATTATAAGCCCCTAAAGGACAGAAATTATATTGTATTGTTTTTCATTTTTCTATGCTCAGTGCCTTGTATACAACAGATGTTTAATAAATAGCTGCTGAACTGAATTTCATACATTACACCTTAAGATTGGAGAGGGCTCAAGTTTTCTCACCTATAAAATGAGGAAAGTGGAGTAGAAGATAGGTAGGATAGTTTACACATCTAACATTCTAGGATTCTGATTGTGTAAATTCAAAAGACCGGTCTTTATGCATATTACCCAAAATAAAACTGATTGACTCAAATGCTATGGCAACATACATGAGTAACTTGGAAAAGTAACAGGTATATTTCAAAAGTATCAGGTCAATGTCTAAGAGATGTGGGCGGGAGAAAAACAAAATACCATTAAAAGCTGCATTAACTTTTATAGGTAACTGAGGGGTTGTTTGATTTACTGCAGCAGTAATTTGGAATGTAGCTCTCTGGACTATGCATTTATTTAAATAAATTCATATATTCCTTTGTGATATCATTTTTATTTTGACCTACTTAATGGATTGGCCATAATTATTCCAAAAGATTAAATATAGATGGGCAAAGAGTACAAAATAAATGGTATCACAATATTATCAAATGATTTTTTATCTTAATTTATTGTTCTCTGAGTTTTTATTTACTTAGTATTTATAAGGGAAAATTAAAGTATTACTTAATAGCTTAAACCTTTAGGATTCCATATTGCTACTAATAAATTATCAAAGAAATAACTAGTATAGGCTCTTTAGCTCTTAGTAGTGTAAGCCATTTGTTTGATGAGCAATTTGAAAAATATAAAACATGAATTTTTTTGTGCCAAAAATAACAGTTGTCTCAACAATCCTGCCCCACCTCATTTCAACTAAGTAAGTATCTACAATAGCATGAAGGTAATGCTAATTTGATTGCTAAAGCATTTAACATACATCTATTTTAAAGCATGCAGACAATAAGCATATAGCAATAAAATTAAAACTCCCTCCCCCCAAGAAAAAAAAAAGCTGCGACTGAAAATCGTTAAAAATGAGGAGAGGAAGATAACTAATAAATTCCTTCATAAACCTCGAGCATATGTATTCTCTTTACAGGGTCCACTAATCATTGGGTTTTAGAGAAACTTCATAGAAGAAAAGGGAAATCTATTATCTGTCTCTTTAAGAAAATTCAGTCACATACCTTTTTTTTTTGTACCCAAATAATTGCCTGTATGGCAAAAGCCACTACATATAGTTTATCCAAAGTGATATTGATGAAAGGGTTAAAGCAGCTTTCTCGATGGCCAAACCCTCACCTAATACGTTAATATTACATGGCATGGTTGAACTAATATAGTTCATTCAATCAAATATTGCTTGCATGATATATGAAGCACTGCATAAAGCCATGCTATATGGAAGAAGGATGGTTACTTACCAACAGGACGAGCTGTAGACATTACAATGGTGTGGTGAGAACATAAAAAAGAAATTAAAAAAAAGAAAATTGTCAGAATGCATGATGAGTAATGTTACAATGGACAGTAGAGTGAATTTGAAACTTAGAAATTTAAGTGTGACCAGAGCTTTGGGTTATTTCTTTAAAAAAAAAATTAAAGTAACCTTTTTGCTTTCAAAGAATAAATACATGAGATATTTTAGAAATGGTTGCAGTGAATCAGTTGGTAGGTATTTTGGATAAACCTATATGTGATGATCATTTACCACAATGAATGCCTCTTTAGAATGAAACTGCATTGTCCTACCAAAATATTATGGTACTTGATGTTAATATTTCATTCAAGTTAAAGACTACCAAAGGCCATGGTAACAAAAGAAGTAATCACTGTCTAATTTAAATATCATTTGAATTTTAAATATGGCCAGTCAGAAATGTTATGAGGGCCACAGAAAAGCTGATGACACTACTTTCACTTACTGATAACAACATATCATTTTTCATTCGCTGAAACTGAAACAACTGATGAAAATATAACACAGGTTGAGATTACCATACAGATTTTAATTCAATACTTTCCAAATCACTCGTTACTTTGGGGAGTTGTGGCAAAAGAAAGATTGATAAGTTGATTCTTATTTTTACTAAGAATGACTATAAAATGTCTACTGCAACAAATGATCCCATGATTATGCAACAAACTTTTTGCTTGAGAATGCTACTTACTAGGATGCTGTTGCTATTATGAAAATACAAGAATATTAAGAGAATCTCAATCTCAAGAAGTTTTAGAAAATTTAAATAAAATTTAAATGACTGATCAATGAATCACCTGTTATAATTCTGTACAAGCATTCCAAATGTGTATTGGCATTACTTTCTCTTCTGAGGAGAAAACAGAGGTACCTAGCAACATTTATACTTTCAAAGTATATTTTTTTAAATTTGAAAAAACTAGTATACAATTAATGGTACCATGCAGAAGTTGAATCTACATGTGACCAAAATGAATTATCTATTTATAGGATTAATATTTCTATAGTAAAATGTGGGGAGGGTTTTGCTTCTGTTTGGGTTTTCTTTTTTTCTATTAGGCATATATAGAGATGTTTAATATTTTACTTGATAGCATTTGCTATACATGGTATGGATTTCCAAATCACATGATAGTCTTCCCTATTTCTTCAGAGTGGATAACTAAAGCCAATTTCAGTAGCAAACAATAAATTCTGTATTTCAAAAGGTATTTTGAAACACTGTTATAAATACACTCATGGACTATGGTGGGTGATTGATTTTAACAGAAGAGAAAACACTGAGGAGAAAAAACAGCTCTCACCCAATGCCCTTTTATTTATCTTTTCACTTTTTCTAAACACAAATAAAAATAACTACTATTGTGATATAAATAGCTGGTGTGGGGTTATGAGATTTAGCAATGGGATTCCTCCATTTTTTGCCAGTGTATACTATGAATGTCAGTTCATGTCAGTTTTGATCTGTTCATTTTCATACCCTTTTCATTTTCATTTCACTCTGAATTTCAAACATTTTTGGTTCTCCGGTGTTTTATAAGCACTTGTACGCTCTACACTACAATACATCATCCCTCTGAAGGCAAAAAATAAGAACTGAAAATATAAAATCAATTCATTTTCACTTAAATTTAGACAAGCTCTCAAAGCACAGGCATGATTCTGATGTTTATTAAGATGATAAACTAATTCTAAGAGAAATCAATCTACATACCGAAATGAGCCAATGGAAAGTGCACTGGCTCTGGAATCAGAGGATATGCATTTGACTCCAACTTCTCATACTTACTACCCTGTGACCTTGCACAAGTGACCTAACTTCTCTTGGCCTCAGTTTCTTCATTGTCAAAATGAGGAGGTTGGACTAATGATCACTGGTGTCCCTTCTAAGTCTTCATCTATGATCCAATGATCCAACAAAATTAGTGAGGAATTCAGCCAAATTGTGTATGTATACTATCAAATAACCAGTTTGATTGGATTATTTAATTACTTGTTTTGAAGTCAAACAGAAATGACCATACTAGGAAACCACAATTTCATACTAATGTTAATGTTGGGAGATCTATGACTAAAGTTAATCTTGCACAGTATAAGGCTCCAATTGGAAAGGGGGGAAAAAAACATAACTATTTTTAGTTGTGTTCATGCTAATGTTCATTTTAAAAACCACATTTAAAAATAATGGTATTCTTACCTTTTGGACATTAAACTACCTTTTCTCATGTTGTCTAACATGAACCTCATCATAATATTTTAGCAGATGGATTATCTGAAAAAATATTTATGTTTGCTGCATAACATTGTTTTGCAGAGAATGCTAGCAGGTTGCCTTTTTTTTAAATTCAGCAAATTAAATTGCACTGTGTCCCTGAATTAAACATATGGAAATGGAAGTTGGCCTCTTTAGTCAATTGATTCCTGTAACCTATAGACCAAATATTCTACTGCGTGTATAAAAAGGGAAATAAAGATAATGACATTTTTTTCTTTGCTAACCTTTCTCAATGTTACACTAGAAAAAATCAAAACATTCTACGAATCTGAAATGTCTTGAGATTTAAAGTTAAAATAATATATACTCTATTTATGTAGTTATGGACTTTGGTAAGTACAGATTTGTGGAAATTTTTGTCTTATTCTTATTTTGGAGCTCTTAGTTGTAGATGAATTCTTAGGAACAAAATGAGCATTCCATTCACATTAAACTTTGTAACAATGGGACAATAACATTTGGAAAGGTAATTTAATAAGAATTTAATAAGAATAGCTAGCACTAAAAAAAAATAAGTAAAATAAAAAGGGTTTTTTTTTCCTCCTTAGAGATAAAATCTCCTTTTACAGTAATTTAATAGCATAGGGTAAAATTTAGCTAATACAAATAAAAAAAAGTTTTGTAAAATGTGGTACTAATTTCTAAAATTTTCTAATAGAAAACAAAAAGTGATTAGATGCTATGGCAATTAGACTCCAGGGTTTCATCGCAAGCATTTTATATGTTAAATGATTATTTAAAGAAATAAACAGCTCATATTTTCTTACCATTTATTTCACTGGCAAACATTTTCCAAATAGGAAGCTAGTTATCTTTCTATTTTCCAATAATTTAAAGAAGAAAAATTTACTTTGTGTATAATTAGGACATCCAAATTGTTTTGTCAAGCTTTCCAACAAAGACTTTTACGACTGACTAGAAAAAGAAAAGCAATCTTCAGATAAACTAAGCATTAAACACTGACTAGACATTTTTTAAAAAGGGGGGGAGTGGGGTATATTTTTAGATGTAGAAATAGAATTCAGAAAGACTAAATTCTAGTCTTTTATCTGTCACTAGCTAGTCATGTATGAAAATCATTTCTAGGATCTTAATTTCCTTGCCTCTACAGGGAGAAATTTTGACTATATGGTCTCCAAAATTTATTTCCTAGATCAAAAATTCTGATATCTATGCCATTTGCATGGCAAAAAAAAAAAAGCACAGGCAAGAAGAATGTACCTTCTCAGTTGCTTTTCATAAATATATTCCCTCAAAAAAATCTTATAGGAAAATAGTTTATTTTTTTTCCCTAGATCAACTACCACATTTGGGTTTCAACAGGGTGAGAAAAATAGTTGAATGAATGAAAATAACAGTACTGATTAATGGGGAATGACATTGCTCAACATATTTTAAAAAGGGTTGTGTCTCAGCCTCCAAGAGGAAGAAAAAGTCTTATCTGTTCTAAAGAAAAAGATAGAAATGGCACATTCAGTTCTTTGAACAGCCCGGAGTGCTACTACTGGAACTACCACTATATATCTTGTGTGTAGAAAAAAAAAAAGGAACCTCCATATTCTCTTCATCTTTCTTGAGGACTTTGAGCATACAAATATGCACAAAGAGAAAAAAGTGGTCATAGACATGTGACTGGGATTCAGTGGATAGGGAATAAGTACAACTTAGGCCAGAAGAATGAAGTCATATCCACCTTTTAGATGGCGCCTTTACCTAAACACAAATAATATGAATGGAGAAGGCATCAATTAGTAAACTTCAAGGAGTGATTGAGAGATAAAAACATATTTTCAATTTTGTGTGAAGTTATGTGAAAATAAATGTGTTTACTGTAACTGTCTAAATGACACTCATTTGGTACCCTGGAATATTTAATTTTTCTTATATGGGTCAAATGGTTATACCTAGGGGACAGTTAATTGATTCTAGTTCACTCTAAGGTCAAGCACTTATGATAATGTTTTCTCTCCTTCATAAGTATTTTCACTGACTTGATAAATATGTTCTACAACAGGAATAATGCATGACTTTTGAAAAGTGAAAGTCATCATAAAAGTCTATTTCATCTTCTAACATTTTATGATATTCAAAATTTATACAGAGATCAATTAATTAACTATGAATGTAGAGAAGCAAAAACATTTATAACTATTGATCCATGGCAAAAAAAAAAAAAACTTAATAGTAAGTGCTGAAATAGAAGGAATAATGGCAATTAATTTAAATATTGGTAGCAGTGGTTAATGGAACATCATATTTACTTTTAACACTCTCATTTTAAATAAAATAAGCTTACACATTAAATATGAATAAATGTCTTTAAAATGTTTGAAGGAATGTCCTTTTAAATATGAAATTAAACCTGAGAATAGTTATTTCAGTTAATTTCAATTAATGAAAAATCACTTATTAGAATATGTACAATTAAATCTAATCATAAAACAGATGAGTAAAAAGTCTTAAATAAGGAGGAAAATGTATACAGCATAATATGAAAGTTACATAATATGCATACTTACCAAATTAGTTAGCATTAGTCTCCTGATTAAGGTTGTTTATGAAATACTAAGTCACTTACCTCTAACAGTGAGAGTAGCCGATGCTTCCACTCTTCCAACCCGATTCTCCGCAACACATGTATAGGAGCCCTCATCTGAGCTCATGGCCTTTTTAATCCTCAATGTGTAATCATCTTTGATGTCAAATCTAAATCAGAATAATAATTCTATGTGATTTTAGGAATCAAAAGCTTCTCTTTTGGATAGTATAATGGGATTGCATCTAATACATATATTTGTATGATTAATAATGTAAAGTTGAATGACACTACTCAGTAATTGTCATGAGATTTTCACTGAATCATGAAATAGTCAAAAAACTTTTAATGTAATATAATTTGTTTTGGCATATTCATGCCATATTTGGACATTATCAATTAATTAATAAGCCAACAAGCATTTAGTAAGTATGGCTATGTGCCAGGTACTGCACTAATCACTCAGAATACAAAGAAAAAATTGAAAACAATCTGCTTTTAATAAGCTTCACAATCTAATATGGGAGACAATATGTTCATATACAAGGGTGAGTAGTGTGTATAAATGATACAAAATGTTCAAAATACATTAATGCCACTTAAAGTTATTTATATTACTTATTGTAATATATTCAAATATAATTTAATATATAAATATTATATGCATATATGCTGGTAAATGTTGAAACCTAGCTCTGTGGAAAAGAAAACAATGTAAGACATATTTTAGTTTAAGCTGCATTATTAGCATTTGTCATCTCTTTCTTAAGTCTAGACAATCAACAATAACAAAATAAAGTCCTGTTTGTAGTATTTCCCAGTTTCTAAGGTGTATATAAATACATGTATGTGCTTAAAATTTAACAATCACTTTTCTCAAACCAATATGGACTGGCTACAGTACACCCCTCAATTCTCATTCTCTCTCTGTCTCTCTCTTTCTGTCTTTCTCTCTCTTCTCTCTCATTTTAAGAATGACTTACTTAACATCATATCACCAAGAAATTTGTGTTCAATACCTCCTAAGTATATATTAACTATATGACTACTATTGTTTATCTCAATAATAGCAAAGGTAAATGCAATATGCTGCTAATGATGTTGCATACATATATAATTATACTTGTACATATACATTACATACATTTGTTGGTTTCTAAAGCTGTTAATTTTTTGTTTGTTTGTTAAGGATTCTAGGACACATAACATTTCACCCTAAACTGCTTTTCAGTCTCCTTTATTGAGTTGAGAAATACATTAAGAAACTGGAGCACATTTAGATAAAACATTCAAGTGGGGTATAATATTATTCATAGTCTACATGTAATGGCTAGAATCTGCATTTAATTAACAACAACAAAGTAAGATAGAACAGGTGAAAAAACATTACTAGTGAGGAAATTTTAATAAAAATTGGGTGATTTTGATTGTGAAATTTGGCAATCTGGCTTCTATGAATGTATTCATTGTTGCCAGTTTTGATTAATGACAGTTGTACAATCGTGTGCTGACAGTCCCTGCCATAGAGACACATATTATTCTGATATGAAACACTGCTGAAAAATGCAAACCAATCAGATTTGGCCCCCGGACAACATGTGCTATCATCACTGTACCGTGAATTGAGATTGATTGGTAACCAGCTGTGACAAAGTGGAAAAAGGAGCTTGGTTGTTTTCAAGGAAAAATAAAAAGACAACAAAACAAAATTGTGTATAAACCATTACATCTGCTTGGCCAAAAAGAAAATAAAACAAAATAATTAATATCTCACATTTTAAACAAGTTTGTATTTAAAATTCAATTTGTGTATGATGTTAACTTTATTCAATTATCTTTAGATTTTTAAAGATAAGAAAGAATTTTTGCTTAATCAGAACATACACTATAAAATCACTTCCTTATTAATTTCTTTTGCAAGACTATGTTTTACTTATTTTACGAAGATTGTTCAATGATAATTAATGGGAAAACTTTTTATGATTTGGTGGGGAAAGTATTAATTTTATTTGAAATATCTTGGACAATTTAATAACTATGTCAAGATCTATTTTTTTATTCCTTCTGTATAGCAAATGCCTCAACAGGAAGTATAATCATCATCATTAATACTATTGTCTTAGCTCACATTTACATAGGGCTAGGTAGTTTAAAAAGTACTTTCCTTAAAAACAGTTCTGTAGTTAGGTGGAGCCAAGATGGCAGAGAAAAGCTGGGAAGCTGCCTGAGCTCTCCCCAGTTTCTCTTGAGACAACACTAAATCAAGCCTCTAACCAAATTTTGGAGTGACAGAACCAACAAAAAGACAGAGTGAAACAATTTTCCAGCCCAAGATAACTTAGAAGAACTTCAGGAAATGTCTGTCTCACTTGGGAATAGGGAGAATGTAGCCCAGTGCAGGCAGTGTCCAGGCAAGCAATCATGAGGCTCTTACACAGCACAGATAAGCCCTGTGGTCCTGACTCAGCAGGCCAGCAGCACAACCAGACAGCTGTGACACCTCCAGCTCTAGTACAGAAGGCAAAATGCCAGCTATGGAACCCTCAGCCCAAGGTATGAATATGCCAGTACATCCCAGCACAGTGGGCAAGCCATCAGCCCTACAGGACTCTAGGCAGAAAGCCAATCTACAAGATGATGGAATAAAAGCTGTGACTTGCTTGAGCTCTTCTCCAAACACCTCCAAATAACTGTTAAAATGGCTCTAAACAAATTCTAGAGCAGGAGAACCCACAAAAAGACAGAGTGAAACAAATTTCCAGCCCAAGACAACCTAGATGGTTGATGGGAAAGGTCTCTTGTGCCAGGCTGAGAGAGGAGCATAGTTCAACTTGTGTCCAGGCCTCAGTGAACTGGAACAGGCCTCAGTAGACTGAATCACTAGGAGCTGTAGCAGTTTCCATACTTCTCAACCCACAAACACCAAAGAAAAATTAGAAGGTCAGTAAGAAAGGTCTGTCTGACCTCTGATAGAGAAGTGTGGTCCAGCCCCAATCCTGGAGCAGCCCCTGGGTGGGGGCTGATTCTAGAGCTCTCAACACATAGATAGTGGGGGGATCCAGTGGCTGATCAGTGGAGGACTGTAGGGATTGCTTTGCTGGCACTGAGGCAGGATTCTCTTGCTTTTCCCATGGTTGGATCTGGGTTGTAGGGCTGGGTGGCAGTCCTGGGGTGAAGAGGAGTGCTGGCGTGCTGGAGCTTGTGGTGGCGGTGGACACGGAATCCTTCCTCACAGTTGCAAAGCAGAAAAGAGCACTTGTGGTCACTCACAGACCAGAGCACAGGCCAGGAAAGGAGTAAACTCCTCACCTTTGATCATACCACCTTGAAAGAACTGAAAATATACAGGTCCCTAGAAATATCTCTGAAAACAGCTGCACAAACTCCTGAAACTTGGGACAGTACATTCTCCACAGTGGAAGCAGTGAGAGCTTAAAGGTCAAGTAATTGGCTGGGAACATGAGCAAACAATGCAAACAAACAATTCAGACTATAGAAGCTTACCTTGGTGACAAAGAAGATCAAAACCTACAACCAGAAGAAGACAACAAAGTCAAAGATCCTACATCCAGAGCCCCCAAGAAAAATATGAATTGGTCTCGGGCCATGGAAGAACTCAAAAAGGATATTGAAACACAAATAAGATAAGTAGAGAAACAATTGGAAGTGATGAGAGTGATGCAAGAAAATCATGAAAAATGAGTCAACAACTTGCTAAGGGAGACCCCAAATAATAACACCTTAAAAACAGACTAACTAAATTGGTAAAAGAGGCGAGAAAGCCAATGAGGAGAAGAATGACTTCAAAAGCAGAATTGGCCAAATAAAAGAGAAGATCCAAAGACTCACTGGAGAAAATAATTCCTAAAAATTAGAATGGAGTAAATGGAAACTAATGACTCTATGAGAAATCAAGAAATTATAAAACAAAACCAAAAGAATGGAAAAATAGAAGACAATGTGAAATATCTCACTGGAAAAACAACTGACCTAGAAAATAGATCCAGGAGAGAGAATTTTAAAATTATTGGACTATCTGAAAGTCATGATCAAAAAAAGAGCCTACATTGTCATCTTTCAAGAAATTATCAAGGGAAACTGCCCTGATATTCTAGAACCAGAGGGCAAAATGGAAATTGAAAGAATCCACTGATTCACCTCCTGAAAGGTGGATCAGAAACTCCAAGGAATATTCCAGAGTTCCCAGGTCAAGAAGAAAATATCACAAGCAGCCAGAAAGAAATAATTCAAGTATTGTGGAAACACAATCAGGATAACACGAAATTTAGTAGTTTCTACATTAGAGGATCTGGGCTTGGAATAAGATGTTCTGGAGGTGAAAGGAGCTAGGACTACAATCAAGAATCACCTACTGAGTATAATCCTTCAGGGGGAAAAAATGGACATTCAGTTAGAGGAATTTCAAGCATTTTTAATGAAAAGACCAGAGCTGAAAAGAAAATTTGACTTTCAAATACAAGACTCAAGAGAAACACGAAGAGGGAAAGAGGAAAGAGAAATCATAACAGACTTATTGAAGTTGAACTGTTAACATTCCTACATGGGAAGATGATATTTGTAACTCATGAGACCTTATTCAGTATTAGCATACTATATATAGACAGAGGGCACATAGCGAGTTAAATAAGAAACGATGATACCTAAAATATAAAATTAAGGGGTGGAGAGGATTATATTGGGAGAAGAAAGGGAGTGGTAGAATGGGGTAAATTATCTCACATTTATGTAAATTTATGTAAATTATCACATAAAACAGAGAAGAAAAAGTTTTTACAGTGGAGGGGGAAAGAGGGGAGGTGAGAAGGAATGAGTTAATCTTACTCTCATCAGATTTGGTTTAAAGAGGGAATAACATATACACCCAATTGGGTATGGAAATCTATCTTACCCTACAGGAAAGTAGGAGGGAAGGGGATAAGACAGGGGGATGATAGGAAGGAGGGCAGATTGGGGGAGGGGGTAATCAGAAGCAAACACTTCTGAGGAGGGACAGAGTCAAAGTAAAGAATAGAATAAATGGGGGGTGGGATAGGATGGAGGGAAATATAGTTAGTTTTTCACAACATGACTATTATGGAAGTGATTTGCATGTATAACCTGTATTGACTTGCTTGCCATCTCAATGATGGTGGATGGGGAGGGAGGAAGG